ATAACAGATATGGAACTGAAATGAGAATCAGAATTCTAGCTCCTTTTCATTATATCTGGCAGGAAGTTGAAGATGCTTTCTCACCAGTAGAGGTGCTTCCATCAACTGGAGGAAGGCGTGTATGTTAATGGTGTTGAGTGGTTTCTTCATGGGAGTGCTGGGACACCGATCAGACTGCCTGGATACACCTTTACAGTGCAGAAACCACAGTTGTGTTTGTGAGGAAGACGGATCGACAACCCTGTGATAGATAACAGAAGATTCATCTGAGAGACACTCAAGAAGTAGAATAATTTGTTATAATTTAAGTCAAAATGTAAAAATATCTATTAATTAATTTTATGTTCAATGTATTGGGATACTGTGGTTAAATAAAACCATAAAATTAAACCAGATTTTAAATTTGTAACCACACTTTTCGTTGCTTGAAATGAACTATAACTTAAATAGTTTATTTTTTTATATTTTATTTTATTTCAGCTATATATTATTTTATTTTATTTCAAGTAACAAAAAATGTGGTTACAAATGTAAAAATGTGACTAAATTTTATGGTTTTAGTTAACTATAACAACCCTGCCAAGGACAGCAATATATTCAACAAGGCAACATTTCTAATTTTAATAAACGAAATAAATAAATAAACAAACTAATAAATAAAATTAATAAAAACTACACAAACATGTTTAAAAATAAAACCAGACATGTTTTTTACATTAAAAAAAACATACAACAAAATTACGAATCTAAACTCAAATTTAAGTGAAAACAGAAAATATTAAAGGAACACTTCACTATTTTTGAAAACAGGCTCATTTTCCAACTCCCCTAGAGTTAAACAGTTGAGTTTTACCGTTTTCGAATCCATTCAGCCGATCTCTGGGTCTGGTGGTAGCACTTTTAGCTGTAGCTTAGTATAGATCATTGAATCTGATTAGACCGTTAGCATACTATAGGAACAGTTTTAAATAGGAAAAATATAGAAACTCTTTGGTTATTTTTGAGCGAGATGCTAACGGTCTAATCAGATTCAATGATCTATGCTAAGCTACAGCTAAAAGTGCTACTGCCAGACCCATAGATCGGCTGAATGGATTCGAAAACTGTAAAACTCAACTGTTTAACTCTAGGGGAGTTGGAAAATGAGCCTATTTTCAAAAAGCTATAATAGAATAGCGATCATGCTTTGAGTACCTCAATAGGGATTGAATGTATATCACTACTTAGAGTAATATAAAACATACCCCATATGTTTTATGACCAAAGAGCCAGTCATCTGGACAAACTGGTATTTGGTTCCATACACAAATGCTGCCTCCATCAAAGCTCGGTGCTCTATCCCAAAAAAAAACAAAAACATGAGATATATATAATATTGCTTCATTTCAACCAAGACAATGGACTATAGAGAATATAGAGATCGTACCTGGAAGGCCTAGCACTGGTATGTGACCGACCACACATTACGGACCTCATTGAAGAGGACAGAGCTGAATGGAGGACATAAGGGACACATTCAAAGGTCAAGGTCGTCACTGTAGTTCCATCAGGCAAAATAAGCATCTTTAATCGTTGGTGATACTATAAAAGTTTTAAATAAGAAGAACTCACAAAAGGACATGAGAAACAATTTCATTGACGTCAAATATGGCATCGATGTCGAAACTCCTCAGGACCTCAGAGCCTCTGGAATGATAAAAGACAAAAAAGCTTTTGGGTTCATATCGTTCCAAACCTGTGTGACTATATAGAGTAATTCAAACTTTTTTTTTTTTTTGAACATCTTGTGTTCAATAGGTTTATATGGGTCAGTAAATTTTTTTTAATGTTTTTAAAAGAAGTGTCTTAAAGCTGCATTTATTTGATCAAAAATACAGTAAAAACAGCAATATTGTGAAATATTTTTACATTTTATAACAATAATTTTTTTTTAAATAATATTTTGTAACAACAACAACAGATAACTGTTTTATATTTAATGGTTGTGTCCGAAAGCCTAGACAGCTGCCTTGCTGCCCTATCAGACAATGACTTAGCAAGCAGCGTTTTTTTTGCACGAAGGCACCTCATGAAACTGATTTCAGACAGGCTTCTGAGGCAGCGTAACGTTTTAACGATCTACAACAAAATAGAAGGAGTTTTGGTGATAACTAAACGAATATTTAATTACTATAATACTGATTTCTCACTAGAACTAACATCAAAAGTGCAAAAAGTTAGTCAGAAATATACATTTACACATAAACTGACCGCCAAACGCAACTTTCAGATGCCATCTTTCGCCATCTTTCATTTTTAGCTCAACCGTCACGGAATGGAACGCACAGGATTGTGGCTGATTTCAGACAGGCTTCTGAGGCAGCGTAACGTTTTAACGATCTACAACAAAATAGAAGGAGTTTTGGTGATAACTAAACGAATATTTAATTACTATAATACTGATTTCTCACTAGAACTAACATCAAAAGTGCAGAAAGTTAGTCAGAAATATACATTTACACATAAACTGACCGCCAAACGCAACTTTCAGATGCCATCTTTAATTTTTAGCTCAACCGTCACGGAATGGAACGCACAGGATTGTGGGATATCAAAGGCAGCGAAGGATACATCTATGCTGCCTTCAAAAATCTATCAGATGAAGGTATCTCATGAGACAGGAAGTGAAGCTAACTTTGGATTCGGATGTGCCTTCTTGATGCCTTCCTACCTTGGAATGCGTCCTCCGAAGGCAGCATTTTAGAGCTTTCGGATTATTTATTTCTGTGATGTAAAGCTGAATTTTTTTTTGCTGAAACATTTCTTATTATTATCTATGTTGGGAACAGTTGTTCTGCATAAAACAAGATCTTTTCAGGGTTCTTTGATGAACAGAATGTTCAAAAGAACATTTATTTGAAATAGAAATCCTTGTCAAATAATTTCTTTTCTTTCAAAAATCTTACTAACCCCAACATTTTGGACAGTAATGTATAATGATGTGAGGGTAAAGTTTATAAACTTATACCTGAACAAGTATGCCTTGGTCAGTAGCTTTTCTCCTGTGCAGTAGTTTGCTATAGCATCTTTTGAACAGTTCACCTGTAAAAACAGTCAGTTATTCAAACTGATATTACTGCAATACAGTCAACCATCGTGTAAAACATAACTAGACATCAGAAAGCTCCTTCTTCTGACATTCTGATGCAATGAGGTTTTGCTCACCTTCACAACAGATATTCCATAGTCCTCTAGGGCAGTGAATCTCAACCTTTTGGCGTACCGGACCCCAGTCCAATTCAGAAGCATCCTCAAGGACCCCCAGAACAAAATTGACTCATCTATGTATCATTTGTGTCTTTGTGAGGACCAAATGCAGTCAAGTACTATTCAAGTTAGTTGACTTGTCCAGTATTTGGCCATATCATCAGCTATATTGGATTTTTCTTTCATGGGAACAGGAGTCATGTCAAAATATACAACATTTATACAAAAATGCATACTTTAAATGGACCCCCTGGCCTTACGTCAAGGACCACTAGGGGTCCACGGACCCCTGGTTGAGAAACACTGCTCTAGGGCATCAGCTGACATCTCAAGCTGCTCCATGAACAGTTTGATGGTTGGACTGACTGCAAGTAGAACTAAAGCTTATGCAATAGTCTATGAACATTAAAAGACTTTTGACACCTAAAATCCATTGATTCAGCAAATATGCTTATGTGCTGACTGACTAATGACTCTTGCTTAGCTTTGCACATTATGATAACTGTTCTGCAAACATTTGCAACGCATTTATCAAAGTCTCACTATGATTTCCAAACTATATAAAGGACGTCTTCCCTGTGAAGCTCTGACTGGAATCTTCTATCAGTTTGGAGGAACATTGATCTGCCGCTAGGCTGAATAACGCAATCAAATAGACGATGCATATGGTGCCCTTTTCCATTTTTATGGACCTTTAACGTACATCCATTTATATTAGTTCATTTTAAGGATGAGCTCAGTAAAAACTGGTACACAAAGTCAAAGAATATATCCAAATTCAATCAAAACAACTCGCCTGGGCTGTATTACTAAATGCATCAGCCATACACTAACAAATTGCATTTCTAAGGGCAACCTACAAAAAATAAAATAAAAAAAGAAATCCCCAAACACTAAAACAACATGCGCAAACGTTGTCCAATTAAATTTGTGCGGAGGATTTAGCGGTGAGCTGAACACCAATCAGAAAGCTCAGAATACAAAGCAGACCCAGTGAGAAAACCAATGAGAATGAAGTAGGAATGTTATTTGAAAAGCCTGTCATTTTGGCTCGAATGTAACGGTATGTCTCTATACACCACTATTTCAACTGAGCCAAGATGGCGACTGAAGCGCGTTGGTTTCTAGCTTCTTCCTATTGGCCAGTAGGTGGGGCCCGAGCGTGATCGCTCCCTACATTTGATAATCGCTTTTTTTTTTTTTTTTTACAGAGTTGTTTTTCTTTGCTCGGAGGGAGCAGCTGCCTTGCAGACATTTGGGTATTTTTTTAACCTATACTTATTTGTTATTCATTTCTTTCTTCTGCATGCATAAGCCACAGCTTAACATATTGTACAACAATCAATTTATAAACAAAAAGTATCCAATTATGTTGCACACTGTTATGTTAGCGATTAAAATCAAATCTTACATATTCAACCACTGCAAGATTACAAAAACAACATGCGTAAACGTCCAAGCATTAAAATTAAAAGCATGAAAATTAAAAACGTAGAGAGGCAGGACACCTAAAAGACAAATGATTGGTTTCTCCCAAAAAAAAGTAGGCGGCTGTGTAAATCGCTTTTCGGCGAACGTACTTGAAAAGCCTGACATTTGGGCTCGAATGCAACAGAATTTTTCCATTCGGCACTATTCAGCCGAGAGCCAAAATGGCGACACAGCCGCGTCAGATTCTAGCCTTTTCCCCATTGGTCAGTAGGCGGGGCCAGAGCTGCAACGCTAGCCAGCTGATCACTTTTTCTAGCGCTAGAGTTGGTTTTTCTTAGCTCGGAGGGAGCTGCCTTGCAGAGATTGGGGGACTCTGCTGTTTTTTTTAATAGTTTGTTTTCCACATCTTGCTTATGAACCTCCAAGAATTGTATTAGAAGTTTATACAACAACAACTTAGGGCAGTCTGTAGGTTTTCATTTTTAGCTCATATGTCGTTTGTAATTAAGTTTGACGTTTTTCAATTTCTCCTAATTTCAAAACATCTGCATGAAAAGTTTCATGGAAAAGGAAAACGTTTTGGATAAGTCGACGTGATAGCGAGCATCCCGTCGATATGTTGTTTTTACTAGAAAGCCAGGTCAGTGTTTGGACGGACTCACCCTCCTCCTCCTCCTCCTCCTCCTCCTCATCATCATCATCCTCCGCCGAACTGATCCAGGCTGCGGTTCCCCCGTCCGTGCAGCTTGGTCTCACGGTTCTCTACACGGTTTTGTATTCGCTGCTCTTCGTGTTTGTTTACCTGCAGCTCTGGTTGGTTCTGCACTACGGACACAAGCGCTTCAGCTACCAGAGTGTTTTTCTCTTTCTGTGTTTGCTCTGGTCGGCTCTGAGGACGACTCTCTTCTCTTTCTACTTTAAAAATGTTGTTCAAGCAAACCAGCTTCAGCCTTTGCCGTTCTGGCTCCTGTATTGTTTTCCAGTCTGCCTGCAGTTCTTCACCCTGTGTCTGCTCAACCTTTATTTTGCTCAGGTAAGTCCCACTTTCCTGTTTCCCCAATTTGTTTTTGTTTTGCAATGTATTACACAACATCCAAATGCGTCTTTATGATGGCTCGTGGTCTAATTAGCATGCAAAATCAACGTACTTTTGTTATATAGAGATAACATGACTCCTGTTGCATTTAGATTGCCATTTCCATGCAACTCACATCTATGTGGGTCCCTCCCACCAAATGTGTTTACTTCATGTGACTGACTTGGAACTTCGTGCTGTTATTGCGATTAAAAGCATCGTCGTGCTGTCATACAGGCAAATTATGTTGTTTGAAACCTTTATAGACATTCATCATGTTCATGATACTGGGACAAGAGCACAGCTGGAGGTCATCAGTTTCTGTTCAAGCCCCTCTGCTTGGCCACACCAGTGCAGTTCACAGGACAGTCTGAATGAGGTCTATTATTGCCACTGTTGGTCCATCCTTCCACGCTCTGTAAAGTTTTGGCCGTCTGTGAATGCAGAACCTCATCATGCAGGGAATGAAATATTTTTCTTCTCCTCTCCAAAACATTATGCACTGGAGAACAGAACATTACAGTCCTTTATTCTATGCTGGAAAATAATCAACTACTTGGTTCACAAAAAAAAGAGACATTATTTTCATAATTTACACGTATGTTCATGTCAGTCCAAAGCTCTTTGTTTTTCTTTATTCTGAAGACCACAAAAAGAGATGTTTAGAAGTATAGCCATGCTGCTCTTTTTCTCTTACAGAGAAAGTGAAGTGTGAGCAGGGGCTGTCAAGCTCCAAAAAGCACAATAATAGTCAGTATTTTGCACTACATTGTAAGTCTTTTGATAGTATATGTTGGTTTTTGTGATAGAAACTGATGAAAATGGTTGGTACAGGCGTTCCTGTAGCTCGAAAAGTAGCATATATCATTAGCAATGTCATGGTTTCTATTCCAAGTATATTGTCAGTCGCTTTGGATAAAAGCATCTGCCAAATGCATAAACACAAATGCAAAATTGAAGTCGCTTTACACTAAACAAATTCCCCTGCTGTGGCTCACAAATCTCCATCGCAATTTGAATATTCACTTATTTTCAAAATCGGACGTGATGTCTTGATGAACCATACTTGAATTGGTGCAAACGTGAATGAGATATTCTGAACTGCATGCAAGTTGTATTAAATACTTTTATGGTGCTTTTATTGTTTTTTTATGATCATTTTGGAAGCTTGAAAGCCCCTGGTCAACATTCATTTTCTTTTTATGAAAAAGAGAAGTGTCATTCTGCTAAACTTTTCGTTTTTTGTTTCTCATAAGCAAGAACTATTCCCTTAAAATACAGTAATTTAAACATCTAATAAATGAGAGGGTAGTTTATATAATTTTCGTTTGCTCTTGTTTCACTTCTGTGGTCGAATGCCACCATAACTGTAATGGTGAAATATTTTGTTGGAATCTAATTTGCAGGAACAAAATTGTATATGAGATTCTCATTATTATTCTTGTTCCAAACTCAACAAATGTGTGCTTTGCTCTTTCTGTTCTGTTCGACATCACCCCGGCTCTGATATTAATCTAACCTTGCTTATATTGCATTTTATTTCGCCCGTAGTCAGCACATAGAGCTGTGGCACAATGAAACCTGACTGACAGGCCCTGCAGTCCTGTTAGATTTATTGACAGCTTTGTTTTATGCAACCACCATTTATGCCTGTCTGCAGCCTTTCCCTTTACACCTACATTAAGTTGCAGAGGGTTGCTCGAGAGAGCTGGCCTTTGTTTGTGCATATTCCTCGGGAGCTATTTGAGATGTGGGCATCGTACCGACACTGTCTGAAGAGCACGAGTTGGCATTTGAAGGTGCGAGCCAATCAGAGGCACCTGCTGCAAGAGCATTACATCACCCTGCTCAATCCTGTACTATTCCAGGCACAACAAAAGGGGTGTGCAGCATTCTGTTCTTAGAGCAGCCACCGCACAGACAAAGACGCAGAGCACCCCGACTCTCCGAAATGTCAGCTGAAAACAAAATCACATCGGTGGGGTACGTATCCGAGTGGGTCATTTGTGTGGCTGAGAACGCCGTGTTGTATTCTAGTGCTCTGTCCACTCAGTAATGACCTAATGACCACTATTTCAAGTCAGCTGTTTGGCCCACATTAATTTTCCTTGGTAGTTGGATGTAGCGATTGATCTTTCATGCTAGTTGCTGCAGAAATGGGTTATGTATATGTATATGTATATATATATATATATATAAATAAGTATATATGTAATTAGCTAAATATTTTCTGAAACTTTAATAATTTTATATTAAAATATACAATTTTAATATGTATTTGTTTACGTAATAATAAAGAACTTGATACATAAATGTATTTTAATTAATATTATATAATAAATAAATATAAATACTATAAAAATACATTTATATATAAAAATATAATTACTATATATATATATGTATATGTTATGTATATATTCTTGTTATTATTGGTGTCCTTTTTCATTTGTCAAATGTAAAAACATGTGATGGAACTCACATTATCTGTTGTTTTTACATCCAGAATACAGAGAAAATGCAGGCTCTTTAGGGAACTGAAATTGCAACACTGTAAATAATGCATTTTATTCCTTGCAAGTGTTGAGTCGCATTTCACAGTTTTCATATCTGTTCTTCCTCTGTCTTTCAGTTCTCTGGGGTGGCACCAAAGTGATGATCAATTAATTTTTCAAATGACACTTTCAGCAACTCTTGTGCGTGAAGGCAACACATTAAAGGCATGTGTACTGTGAACGCCAACTGTTTACGTGAAGCAGAAACTCCCCCGTGAATCACACGTGTGGTTTCTGCATGTTGGTGTGTGAGTGTGATGCGTCACATGAGACCTTATCAGCAAAGCCCTGCATAGAAAAGAGATGGGCCATTTTTCATTGTCGGCTGTTTTTGGTGCTGTCCGGATGCTATTGTACACATATAAATTAACGTTCATGTTCAAAACAAGCAATAATGTTTCAGTGACATCTGTGACATGCTGTCAGTTATGTAGCACAATAAACAATTTTGATTTGTCCCCAGTTTATAAAAATCCAATACCATTACTAAAAGGCATCTTTAAAAGCAGAAATTTGCAGCTTGTAGTTTTGTTAAAGCACTTATCTTCTTATTTTTTTCTAGCACTGCTGGTGTTAACACTTCTGAACATAATTTTTTTTTATGTAACCTGTCCCTTTCTGTTATTCATGTGCATATCATGCCAAAGTTGCAGCTTATCAGCTCTACATGGTCATGACAGGAGTTGAAAAGTTGGATATAACTTGGCACTAATATGTGTCAAGATGCTTTAATGTTTTTGAAAGTCTTTTATGCTCTCCAAGGCTGCATTTATTTGATTCATTGAATGTAATTTATTCTTGTGATGGCAAAGCTGAGTTTTCAGCAGCCATTATACTTTTAATGTTAGTGCATTAATGTACATGCCGTTTTGATTGTTTTGTTTTTTTTAGCAAACTAAATGATACATTTAAAACATGCTTCAGCTTAACCTATTCTGAATCCAGAACTTTCCATTCACAAGCATATTCCAGTCACAATAAACAGCAGTGTAGTGAAATTTAGACTCAGAAAAGTAGTAATGAAACATGGTGCAATGGGAAGAGTTCTGTAATACGGTTGCATAAGTTTGTTTACTTAATCAAATGTTCTCTATTATTTAATATAGTTTTGAAATAATGACATGTCTTGATGTTGCAAATGTCAGGCCTAACTTAGGCTTAACGTACCGTAAAAGTTGCTGGGCATGACCACATTCACATTTAACATGTCAAACCACAAACTTATAGCTTGTTTCTGCAGTCGTATCAGCTGGGAGAGTCTTATTAATTTAGTTTGCCGAGGAATCTTTATAATGGCCAGGCAAACAGAGGGATCACCCCCACGCAGTTCCATTACAGCTTACTGGAATGTTGTTTTCTTATTCCACACTCACCCTCTTTGTCCTTGTAAAACATCCATAGATATGCAAGTTTGGTGTAGATAATTATGACATGTTCCTCACTGCCATGTACACTCCTCCAGTGCTTTTGCAAACTCACATTTGAGGCTAGGTCACATGATCGGGATCAGTAACAGAATTGTGCCACCTAATTTGTTTAACAAACGTAGGCACCTGTTTGCGATGTTCATTGGCTGGTCCTGACTAGAATGAATCACATTTTGCCCTTTGACAGCTGACTTGGAGAAGTTTAGGGTGGAGTTTGTTTTGGGCTAATGATTTTAGCAGTTGTGCTGTTGTGTCAGGAGAGGTTCGGGACGGCTGTTGTTAATCTGTAACTAGGCCACTGTTTCTTTGGCAGGGATCTCTAGGTAATGTAGACCTGCTTGTCATGTAAAGGGAAGAAGTGGGTAACGAGGACAGTCCACAAGAGCATTGAAGGAAAACAGACGTTTAATGCTCTTGCTTCCTAAATTAGCCGCTTGTTTGTTCCTGGTAAATACAGTTGTTGTTTCTCTACATAAGTGGGCTGAATTTGATTGTCATATACTATGTCACTGACTTAAAGGGGCCATGTTGTACTCCCGTTTTCCCCTGATGCCCACTAGTTAGTCATGGTGTCTTGCACCGAAAATGTTTTTTACATGACGGTTTACCACCCTCATTCTCCTTTAGGGCAAAACCTATTTTTGCTACTGTACCTTTAAGACAATTTAAATTATGTATTATTATTTACATCAATGTATTTACATGTAAAAAAGTTATAGGTGATGAATGGCTAACCTATGAATGTGTAAGTGTGTGTTTTTTTTTGTTTGTTTTTTTAAAGGGGTCATATGATGCTTTTTTAAAGATCATTATTTTGTGTATTTGCTGTAACAGAATATGTTGACATGCTTTAATGTTCAAAAAACACATTATTTTTTAAAATACTGTACATTATTGTAGGCCCTCTATGCCCCGCCTCTCTCAAATGCTTAGTTTTCTACAAAACCCCCTCCTTTGACAAGCGCAGTCTGCTCTG